ATATATATATATATATATATACATATATATATAAAAGCTGTAATTCAGTTAAAAATTTGGCCTTAGGGGGAAAAATTCATCCTACTTAAAAGATTCTAAAATATGAATGAGATAACTCATAGGAGAAATCACTGAAACACAAGTGAGAAATTTTCTATGGAAATGAAAAGTCTTCAATCACTATTTATTCAAAGAAATGTCCTTCAAAAGAGCTTTTTAAAAATAAAAAAGCATATATATATATAACATCTATGCCTATGTTTACAACCATTTCTGTGTATGTTTACGTCTACTTGTGGTGGGACAATAAAAAGAGTCAATGATCATAAAGTTTGCCATACATCTTTACTTGAATATTCTATTAAACTGAATTAGACTGATACATTCTGAGATGAGCAATGTTGATCAAGAAAAAGTACTGAATCCTACATGTTTACACGATATATTTTTCTTTTTTAGTACACACAAGAAGAGTATTGGCAAAGGCTGCATGCTCAAACTGATGTGATAGTTACCTGGTAGATACATATACATAGACAGTTATAGAGACAGAGATATATAAAGTATACGTTTATAAAGTACTACATTTAATATAAAATTCCTCTCAATTAAGCTTGTACTCATTGCACGTCTTTGCCAACCAATCTGTTTTGCTAAGGTTGGGAGGAGCCCACAGGGCGTCAAGTGTGATTAAGCCACCCGGTTTTAGTCCATTTGTGCTGCCATAAGATACCAAGGCGGGGTGCCTTGCAAGGAACAGAAACACACTTCTCGCTATTCTGTAGGTTGAGCACCGAAGACTGTGCAGCAGTGCGCTCTGCGCTGGGGAAGCACCCATTTCCTGCTGCCGGACAGTGCCTTTTGGCTTCGTTTTCCGGAGGAGCCCCGTTCGGGGTCCCCTCCACAAGGGCGCAGATCATGCGCATGGGCAGTCTGCCCCTGTGACTCAGTCACTTCTTAGATGTCACTCCCCCTGACACTGCACACTGCTGAGGACTGATCTCTCTCTCTCTCTCTGTCTCACACACACACACACACACACACACACACACACACACACCCCTTTTGACACCAGCAGCACCAACATCATCTCATTTCTGAGTCTCACCTATGTCAGTGGCTCGGGCGGGCAGTGGTCTCCGCCACTGGGTGACAAATTTGTATGCATCCAGCCTGATTTCAATGATGTTGTTTAACAAAGCCAAAAGAGGGGCCAGCGGAAAGGCCGCGACGAAGATGGTGGTGAAGCCGAACTGCAAAACTGAAGGGAGAGCACATTAGACAATGAATGTTGTGGATGCTGTCATCCCTTTGAATCCTTTCAAGATCCTTACAAAGTAAATATGCTCATCTCATGTCATAGTTGAGAAAACTTTAGCTCATAGGTGTTAATTAACCTTCCTGAAGGTATGGGTAGAAAATATCAAAAGCTGGGTTCAAATTCAGATCTAAATGTACTTCAATTCTGTGTGCTCTCCACCATTATGTAATGGAGCATGAAGGAAGGAGAAACAAGAAAAAGGAAAAGGGAAAGGAAGGTGGTGAAGGAAGAGAGGAAGGAGAGGAGGAAGGAAGGAGAGGACGGCGAGGAGGAAGAGGGGAGGAGGAGTACAAGAGGTAGGAGAAAGAGAGGTGCCGGAAGGAGAGGCGGAAACAGGAGGCAGCAAAGAAGAGACCCTGTCAGAAATGCCGGGCTCTGGAGCGACTCTAGGGACCTACAAGAATCTTTCCCCTCTTTCTACAGATGAGAAAACTCGAGCCCAGAGCAAAGCAGTATTAAGTCAACACCCAGTGATTCTAACAGTTGGAAAAGGAACCTTTACTTCCTTAATATAAATAAATAAGATTCTTCAAACTAAGACTCAGACTGGACCTAAGCAAAAGATGTATTGTGAAGAGTAATTGTTACTTTCTCTGGGTGGGGTGGTATATTTCTTCATGAAGAAATTGATTAGGCTTTATTTTGTTCCATTAAAATAATTGCCCAAAAGCTGGGGCTCGGTTGTGAGAAAAATCTTTATTTTGAGCGGAGGCTTCAGCTCTCAGAGGATAAAGAGCGTGAGCTTTTTCCACACTGTCTCACACCTCTTCTCCCTTGAGATACAAGTGCAGACGTCTTTTGGAAAGCCCTAGATGCTTTCAACACTCTTTTAGAGAGTGATGGTTTTTGTCTGTAGAGGCAAAGCCCATGTGAAACACACAAACAACACCAAGAAGGCCGCGTGTCCTGGCCAGATGGTCTCCCCTTACCCATTTCTAGGTACTCATCCATCAGCCCGTGTATATTCATGGGCTGCAGATTCCAGTCGTTTTCCCACTGAGGTATCGAAGCATCTTGTACTCCACGCTTGATTTTGTGTCGTGACCACCAGTTCTGGATCAACCTACACCACAGGGCAGACCAAGGACTTCTGAGCTCTTGTTCAAACATCTGGTGAATAGTTTATAGTCCACAAAGAAATAAGAAATACCAAGTACTGGCTGGGGATATAGCTCAGTGGCACAAGCGCCTGCCTGGCAAGTGCGAGGTCCTGAGTTCGATTTCTGGCACCAATAAAAAATAAAATAAATAAAAATAAAAAATAAAAATAAATTAAAGAAATACCAAGTACTTCTGGACTACATTATGCATTCTTGGCAATGGGAGATATTTGACACTCCTTTTTCATTAGTATGTGTTTGAGATGCATAATGAATTCACTCATCACGAGGATTGGTGCATACACGAGACATGAACACTGTACCTGAGTCCTTTTACTTTTTTCCTTCTCCTCCCTCCACCCTGTCTCCTTGCTTCTCTTAACTTCTTAAAGAAGTCTCAACTTTGAAAGAAATTTTAAATATTTAAATACAAATTTTAATTAAATATTAAGTATTTAAATATTTTTTAATTTTTAAAATGAAATTTAGTATGGGAGAACTTCTGGAACTCTTCTAGCACTTCACTCTCTCTCTCTCTCTCTCTCATATATATATACCAGGAATTAATCAGCACACACTAAGATGTTCTTTGATATCAATAACACAAGCTTCCAGGTCTACAGTTCTTTCTCCCACCTCCGCCTGTAAATATACTTAAACTCGTATGTTCTCTGTTGTTATTACGTCTGAGCCCTTCATTTCCCAAAACCCGATATTTTCTGAACAATGCTTTCTGAACATGAATCAAATTACTCTGTAGGCAAAGTGGCTGAGCCCGAGATGGGATTTCAGGTGACACAGGTTCTACTTCCCACCTCGCAAGCATTAGATGTGTGATGTTTGTCAAAATGCTTTCCTGTTTCGTGTTTACAAACATTAGGAGCTTGACCATTAGTGACTGCATTCTGTTACTACACTGAAGAATGTCTCCAGGGGATGGATCTTTGCGACTAAGTCCATTTCTCTGACCGGGAAATGAAACAACAACCCTTTCTCTAGTCCAGTAATGATGCTGGAATTGCGTGAATGAGACGCACCACACCGCGCATAGAGTGTGGACTTCTGGATTATGAATTCTGGAAGAATTTCACCAAAAAATACCTTTAGGATGACATGAATCTCACAGAACTCCGTGAACAGTGCCCAGGCCTCTATTTTGCTCACTTGGAAGCTTGCGTTTCACTGGCAGTTTGAAGGGCAATCTCAGCCACAGCCAACTGCTGGGCAGCATTATGACTGCCCCCTTGGAGGTCCCCTCTGGGAGTTCATGAACAGGAAAGAGGACTAGAGGCTGGAATGGAGGCAGCTTTGCTCCTTTCTGTTTTATTTATTCTGCCTTTGCTTGAAGAGAGAGCATTATGATTTCAAGGTGTGACACTCACTCCTTTAAGGACTGATTCCACCCTGCTGAGCTTCCTTCAACGAGACTCTTCCTGAGTGTGGCAAAAACCCCAGCATGATGCTCTTGCTAATGTGCTTACATCACTTGATAGATGTGACCCTGGAGGACCCTTGACAGGGCCACGGGAAAATGCATGGAGCGCATCATGTATGCTGGGAGCCACAGGTAATAATGAACTGAGCATCATTCTTAATCCTGGAGGGAGGCTAAGACATCCTGACCTGCTTGTGAAGCCAGGAGGTAGCTCAGAGGGGGAATACTGGCCTAACATGCACAAGGCCTTGGATTCAGTCCGACTGTAAATAAGATACATGGTACGCTTATCACACACTCAGCATGTTGGAGTCTGTGCTGGACCCTTGACATCTAACTTCTGCAAGTACATTCTGAGGATGCTTCCTGAGCTGCATGTTTTGAAGTTGTCAGTCCAGGACAGGAAAGGGCATGACAAGTGGATTGCGGTCCCCAATCCTCCACTCCTATTCTTCCTTCATTTAGGAGAGATTCACTTTAATCTGTTTCAGATATTGACAATTTGTATAAAATCAACAAATAAAAGAGATAAAAATCTCTTCACAAAAAAGTTTTGTCAATTGTGATTGATGTTTAGTAGTCATTGGATCATCTCATTTAATCTTCCCAAATCTCCTGATTTACAAATGAAAAGAGCACTTCAGAGACGTGAGATGCATTTTAGGCAAAACAAACAAGGAACAGAGAAGGAATTGGAACCAGGTCTGAGTAGCTAGCACCATACCCATGTTCTAAGACTGTTACAATTTAACCAACACCTTGTGGCAGGTTTCAGAGTTAATACCGCTTTTCCAGTCCCCTGGTTTGTGCTCAGAAACATTCTAATACAATGTGCAGGCAACGCTGAAAATGAATCAAGTAAAAGTTAATGATTGAGCCTAAGATATTTGTATCATCAACCAGCTGATCAGTTCTTCCCCCCATCAAGAAATTACTCAAAATACTCTCATTTTAACCTTTGGTTAAGTAGGTCTCAAGGGTTCAAAAGCATATTGTTTTAAATACCTTGTATTTGACTGGATTGTGATGGAAAGTACATTCTAGTGTCTAAAATGGGACATTTCAGCCTCTCTGTCAGCACCATCTAAAAGGGCACCTAAGGGAAGTTGAAAAACCATGTGCTCACGGGTATCCCAGTTCCATGAAGTTGTTCCAGATTTGCTTCAGAAACATGATGACTCCCATCTGCAGGCAGAGGTCTATCAGGCAGCCGCTGGGATGGCACTGTAACAGAAAGAGAGTGATAATGCCCGCTCCTTATCCCAGCGGGTGCAGAGTTCTCACCTTCAAATTACACACTCACCTCTAAAACCCGGTCGCACTATCTGACACTTACAGGGAACAAACAAGTGAGAAATGGAATGGTGGGGTAGTTTTCAGTGATTATAATGGAATATCAATGACAATATCAGCAAGAACAAGAGATCTAACTTTTAACAACTACTTGCAATCTGCCACGCTCTGTATCAGACCCGATCCCCTTTCATGGATGCTAAAGAATAATAAATATCTATTGACAGTCAGGTAGGAGAGGAGTAACTACTAATTCCAATTCAGTGACACAATAATTACAGTATATTGTTTTTGACATATTTCTTGTCTCAGAATAATTTTAGACTCATGGGAAATGTGCAGAGCTGCTTGAGGGCTCACATACATTCCACACCCACACTCGTCCCACATGCTGCTCCTGGCATCTCGGTGGTACATTTGTCAAAGCTGAGAGAGCAACATCAAGACATCATGACTCTCTAGCTCCAGACTCTGTTTACACGCCACCAGTTATTTTCTTTCTGCTCCCAGCTCTCCCTCGGCAGACCCCGTGGCATGCATTTCCCATGAGTCCCTAGCTTCCTCTCGTGTGAACGGTTTGCCATTAACCTTGACAGTTTTGAAGACATGGGGGTATCCTGTGGAAAGTCACCTGATCTGGGTTTGTCTAATGTTTTCCTGTGGTTAAACGCCGGGCTGTGTATTTTGGAAGGCAGACCACCGATGTAAAGTACTATTTTGATCAGACCCCATGGAAGTGACATTCTATTAGAACACCGCTGGTGAGGTTAGCTTTCAATATCTGGTCCATGTGTCATTTTCTCATTTTTTTCATTGGAAAGTTACTCAGTTTTCTATCTTTAAGAGTCAGACACAAAGTCCAGCCCACTCTTAAAGTGGGAAAGTGTTAAAAATCTACCGCTTGGAAAGGAAATTGCTATATATATTCATGTATGTTTAAGTCAGAAATTCACGCCACAGAAGTTTGTCAGTATGATCAGTCCTACCATTTCTGTGAGCCTTTGCTTTTTAGATTTTCAATGAGACAGTCTCACACACACACACACACACACACACACACACACACACGATTTCAATAAAAAGTGTGTTTTACTTAAAAATATGCACCGTGAAAGCTATTTGTATGGGGAAGCATGGGTCTGTTTCTTTAGAAATGGGTCTGTGTCCTGCTCACTAGGATGGTAGGCAGTCAGTACAGTTTTGATCTACAGTTTCTATTTCTAACAAATTAGTACTAGTGGGACTTCAAAAGGAGCAAGTAATTAGAATATGAAATAGCCTACGTTTCCTGTTCCAGGCCAGTGACTTAACTCTCTAATCTAAGTCAGAGAGAGACTTTGCTAGTGGTCCTGTGTCTTGCTTAGAGAGGTCTGAATTTTCAGATCCAAACAAAACTCTTCCTTTTAGGATGAATTTCGGACCCCTAATCTCTACGTCTATGTCCCATTGCTGTGTGCAGTGGAAGGTCTGGGGCTGAATAATTACTAAGGCATAGTGGCAGGTAATAGATCACAGCTGCAAACTGAAGCACTTTGCTTTTGTAGAGAAACTTAGAGGCAAATGGATTTGCACAAGGTGGTGCAGCATCAGCTAGCCCTGTGGGAGGAAGCCACGGCCCCTGCCCCCCAAGCATTGCTCTTCTGAGCCATGCTAAGGATAAGTTCTGCTTACCAAATGTGTTTGATGCCTTGAGGTGTGGGCTTAGCGCACGTCTATTATTATATAGACTTGGGACAGGAAAAAGAAGACAGTAGTAGAACTGTGTGGCTGGATCATTCCCCATGAAGGGTAGATAAGCCAATTGGGGAGCTGGAAGACAGGTTATTTATGACTTTTGAAACTGAGCCTTGATAAGTTTATGATTTGTAGTGAAAAGCGAAGGATCCAAAGGTTTTATGTTAGTAGTCTGCCTCATTCATACAATGAAGGTTTGAAGGCACCCCTTCCAGACGCTAAGATTCACTTGGTAAAAATAGCCCATGCTTAGAGTGTGCAAAAGAGCATGAGAGATGTGTAGAGGACCCAGGTATTCACTCCAGAACACCCCTCCAAATCGTATGATCATGAGCACAAGAGTTGGAGCTGAATGCCTTCATAGTTTTCCATTCACGCTGGTGGGTGGGTGTTGGGATCTGTGCTCTGTAGATGATGAAGCCAGAGGTAGGCAGGACTCTCACACCCCAAAACTCGTGATCCTTCGCTCCACTTGCTTTGGTATCTTCACCCTGAACCTGGCTTGCATGTGTGAGCCAGCAACCAGACAACAACCTCAGAGCAAAGTGCATTTTTATCACACCCTGGATTGTGCCCCAAGCTCCCCCGGAGGTGGTGGGGAAGGCCAGTCCTCTGAACCCAGACTTGGAGGCTACACTGACTCACTCAGCGAGCCATAACTTCATCAGTTTCTATAACTTAGGCAAGTTGTATAACTTCTCTACACCTTTGTTTCCACATGTGTAAAATGATTAATATAAGAGAATTGTTATGAGGAGTAAATGAATAAAAATTTGAAGAGCACTTAATAATGATTGCTGGACTGTGCTAGCATGTAGTAAGCATGCCATAAGTGTTATCCATTTAGTAAACATTTTTGATATTAAATTTGTGCAAAGCATTTTTGTGAGATATCATGCAGCTAATAGTGTAAGATTCATAAATCCAGCACACAAGTTCGTTTACACTAATACAGTTGTAGCACTTCTTTCTTTATAAAAGTTACCCTTACTTGTGTCCAAATAGCTCACATCCACAATTCAGTTTAACTACCAATCACCAACACTGAGATAACTATTTTTATCAGAAGTTTACAGAAGAAAGAACTGAAGTTTATAGACATTAGGATCTTCCCTCTGAATGAGAAAGGATTACAATGTAGAGTATCAGAGTCCAAGGAGAAAATATGTGCTATGTTTCCTGGCTATGTCTTATGCTTGAGCACTATTAATGTCATCAGAGGAGGTAAAAGGACCTCTTCTTTTTTGTACCTCACATTGTCCTCAGAGACTTGACCCACAGCATGTGTTGATAAATATTTGCTGTATGCAAGAATTCAAGTGGTCAGTCTTTACCTTCCACTGTACACATGCAGTGTGGTCGAAATACTGGTAGATATTGAAATTTTAAAAAATTATAGTGTGACAGATGTGGTAATTAATTCTCCTTGAAATACTACCCCTCCCTTCAAACACACACTTCTTCCAAAATTTTTGCCACCTCCTGAAGCAGTCTTGGAAGTACTTTCCGTGTTCTTACAAGAGTGCTAAGAAATGTGGTAACTGCTGCTACTACGTGTCCTCACTCAGCTCCTTCACCAGATCTAGCACTGTGTGACTTCTGGTTCTTTCCTAGAGTTAAAACGACCATGAAAGGTCATTTTTACATTGATTCAGGGCATCGCACCAGCCAGGACAGCATGACCGAAGAAACCATGAAAGAGCACTTCCAGAACTGCTTCAGAAATTGGCCAGAGTGATGGGACAAGTGCATCCAAAGTGAAGCAGAGAAGGGAAAGGAGGATTAACAGTAAGGTGTATTTTACTGTAATAGATTTTTCAAGCATCCCGTGAGGTTTTCAATGGCACTTTGTGGCTTCAGTGTCTACACTTCAGGATTTCTACAGTAGATCACAAACCTACATTTATGATTTCACTAGTTCTTATTGGAGAATATGAGCACTACGTGCTTCATAGAAATGATGGAAAATATAAAACATTTTTCTTAATACTAATATTAATTTTTCTGGGATTTTCAAAGACTAATCAAAGCTTCCAATAATGTCATAATTAGGAAAAAGAATATCTAATTAAGCAGAATTACTGGTGACAGTGGCTCCTAAATTGTTATCAGCATACAAGGTACCTGGCTATAACCTCTCTGCCCACCTCCCTTCGCAGCTCCTGTTGGACACTCCTGGGAAAAGCAGGCCTTGGGCCCGTAATTGGGTAGGTGACCAGCCTTTTAGCAGCTGAACATAATTCTGGGTCCAAAACAAAAAAAAAAAAAAAATGGGACTTGGATTTGGGGAGTTCTAAGCAGTTCCAGAATCGTGAAAGGTCTTAGTCTGTCTCTGGCCTAGAGAAGAGTACCGGTGTTGATGGAAGCAGAGAGACCGCATGATTATGGGGAGCAGCTGGTGGAGAGCCGTCCACAGTGAAGGAAGGAGCTGTTGGCATTGTGGAAATTACCTCTGCTCTGTGAGCAGCTTGGCCATCGAAGTATTACAACTGCCCACTTGTGACGAGAAAAGAGATACTTGAGGAGGTTAAATAAAGGACAGAGAATAAGAAGCAAATATAATTAGCATTTGAGTCCCAATTTCTGGTAGTAAACTTGACCTTAAGAAGCTTTAGGTTTCACCCACATATTACAATCAATTTCCGAAATGATCTGGGGAGAAAGCCTAAGTGCAGCTGCCCAGGGTTTTAGGAGGTTTTCGATGGGACTAGAAGTACCTCAGTCACAGTTTTTTGGAAACCTTTTCTTGGTCTGTCTCTAAATGATGACTTTTTGTTAATGAAGCCGTGTATTAAATTGGATTTTATATTAGGATCATCAGAATAATTTTGAGTTAGAGAAAGAAAAGACATTCTGATCAGTGAGGAGTCTAGAAATGGATACAATTATAAGATATAGATTATGATAATTTTGTAACCTTACAATGCTGAGCAAAAATATTTTTTATTCATTTTATGATTTCAATTTAGGAGAAAAGCAATGATTACTCTTTTTTCTTTTTGAGGCAAGGTCTTGTTTTGTAGTTCAGGCTGGTTTCAAATTCGGTATGTAGATCAGGCTAGCCTTTAACTCATGTTGATCCTCCTGCCTCAGCCTCCCAAGCACTGGGATTACAAGCAGGCGCCACTACAGTTATCTCAGAATAAAATCTTAATTGGTAAAAATACTATTAATTTTTAAAAATTAGTAAATTAGCAAAAAATAACTTTCTTTTTAGTTTATAGAGGTGAGAAGACATGCATTAGTGTGATACAAGTCCAGAGAGACGTTAACAAGAGTGACAGCTTTGCTAGAAAATATTATAAAGCTGTATAAGAAAAAGTATCAGTGCAAAACTAAAGGATATAGCTACATGTGTATGTGGTGATATTTCAAGTGAGATTTCTTTTGGACTAAAATTTCCTTCCTTAAGAGAAACCCTGACACATTTAAAAGTCTGGAGCTGCAGACAGTAGTTAACACTGACTCCTAAAGGAGAAAGGGCCATGGAGGAGCAGCTCACCTTGTAAATGAAAGAGATGGACAGAAAAGTACGAAAAAAAAAAAGCTGAATTCAGAATTTTAGGGTTACTCTTTTCATACTTCATCTTTTTTTAAAAAAAAGATGTAGTTGTTTCTTTCTGGGACACAAGGAAATTTTCTCTACCAGAAATGTCTCTTCACGGCCGGGTTGTGTGCTGCCTCCTGCCCAGCCTTCCCCGTCCTGGGCCGAGGCCTTTCTCCCTGCTCACGGCACCCCCTGGTCACTCACCTCTTCCAGCCTCCAGCGGTCAAAAAGTTTATTGTATTTCCCTGGGTGACCTACAAATCTTAAAAAAAAAAAAAAAAAAAAGCACCTTAATTCATTACCCATTAAATGAAAAACACCTGCTGACCCATCACACGTGTGCACAACTGGGTGACAGGACGTTCGCTGGAGCAATTTGTCCCCAGACAGGGAAACTTTGGAGATGCTTAGGCAACATCAAAGCACCAGGCTTGCATAGGATAAAGCAACACCTGAACTCGGTGCCAGTGGGTTGAGAAGGCACAGGGAAAGCAGCCCGATGGCACTGCGTATGTGCATTTTAATGCCTCGGGGAACAAGTTAATGAATAGTACCATAACGTGCTGAGTGGCTGGGTTCAAAGTGTTTCAGTCTTCAGGAGGTTTCCAAGGCACTGCTTAGAGTGGCATCCACAGAGCAGAACATACCCATTAAGCTAACAGGCTTTGCCCCCATAGTTTATAACAAAGTGAAAAAAAGCACATCATAATGATTGGTAGAGGTATGCACATGAAAGAACTGTAACACAGGGTTACACAAACATCCTTTTCTTCCCTAACAGAATAATTACTGATAATTGGATAGCGTGGATGCAGGTTTTGCTTTTGGTGCCAATTTTAATTGGTTCTGGCTGCCAGTCATCTGAGCAAGAATGCACACGAAAGCTGATTAGCAAAGTCTTCCAAGGCAGGGGTCAAGAATCTGCAACCTCTGTTAACTAATTGGAACCATTGCTGTGCTTTTTTCTATGAAAAACTAGTATGTGTAAAGTTCACTTACCTTCCCAAAAAGAAAGCAATGTAGAAGATAGAGCTGTTCAAATTGACAAACTGGAAAAGAAACATCTTCAGGGCAAAGCTGTTTTCCCATTCTGATTCGGTGCGAGGGTATTCTGAAAGGAGCAGAGTACTGTTGACAGACACCAGGTGGATGACAGGCACTCGGGACATGGAGTAAGGAGCCCTACACTCAAGGCTGGCTTTGGTAATCTGCTGGTTCTATGAGGCACTTAGAGTTTCAGAGTTCTAGCGTCTGTGTCCGTAAGAGGTGAATGGTAATACCGGATGTGCAGAGTTCATAGAAAGACCTAAGAGGACTTTTAAGCTCCCTTCACCCCTACAAAAGGATAACACCTGTTCTTAATATATGAAGAGCTTCAAGGCTGCCTTTGTCATTGCCGCCTAGGGCTAGCGATGAAGACAGATCAACTGTTTGCTCTAGCACTGCTCCTCACAGGGACCTGAATTGTCAGGGCTTTTTTGAAGAATTAATATTTTCTGTGGTAAAAGGAAAAGGAAAGAACAAATTAGAAGAGCTGTATTCTCATATCAGCCTTACACCCAACTTTCAGGTGACCCCAACTTTTTGGGGGGGCAACAGTTGTGTCATCTATGAAATGAGGGATTTAGATAAGATGATTTATCTGGATCCTGTGAACTCTCACATCTTGTAGCTCTATTACTTAAAAGAAGATAAAAAAAAACAAGAAAAATGGACTAAGACAGCAGGATGTACCACAGCCTTGGTTCCCAATAAATGGTAAAAACAAACCGTGTGGATAGCTATAATATATATTTGAATATAAAGTAAAGAAGTCAAGAAAGATAGAAAACGAATAGGACCCGATTTAAGAAAAATGCAGGCCAAATGTGTACACAGCCCAAGCACGTGGAAGGAGGAGACAACAGGGCCAGGGGTTGCAAGTCCAGATATGATGTTGAGAGTGGAAGGTCCGGGCAGCCCCGGAGGGACTGCTGGGCTTGTGCCACAGAGAGAGACAGGCAGCCCACAACCCCCCCGGGCCTGTGGTGTGGGCTTTCGCTGTTGTTTCCTTCTAAATGGTGCTTTAGTTCTATCACATTTAGACAAATTTGTCTAAAAAGAAAATGTGAATTTTTAAAAAATTTCTCATGAAAAGCTGGTCTGGTTATCCATTTCTAACTGAATGGCACTGCAGTCCACAAACAAGTCTCGTGTGTTATCCGCTTTGAGGCAAAAAATTGCAATTTTGTTTGTGTCTGAATTTTGTGGATACTTTTCATTAATGTATCAAGAATTTGAAAAGAATCTTTGGTTTTTGCTGATGAAACACTTTATATGTATTTTAAACGAAGTTTGTCAAATCTATTATTCAAATACTACATATCCTTATTTATCCATTGACTGTGGATATGTGGTTACTTTTATATTTATATTAGATTTGCTTTCTATATTTAGAAAATTTGTCAAGAGAGGCATAGAAATCATGATTGTGATAGTGACTTTATAAATGTGAAGTAACATTTTTAATCCTCAAATATATTTTAAATTCTGGTTTGTCTGGTAGTAATATAATTACATCCGTTTTTATTGTTACTGTTGTCTTGGTATATGTGTGCCTTAAAAGTCAATCAGTTTCACCTTTTTGGATTTGTCTTTCTTTTCACTGACATATAGCTAGCTTTCATTTTTTCAAATTAAATTTGAGTCCCAGTGTTTGAAAGGGAAGTTATTGATATAGATGATTATGATCATAAATAGGTAGATAGATAGATTTAGCATACATACAAATGCATACTTATTTTATATTCATCCACTAATTTGTTTTATCTTTTTCTCTTGTATTTTGTTGTATGGATTAAGAGTTATAGTTTTCCTGGTCTTTTTTTTTTTTTTTTTTTTTTTCTCCGGTACCAGGAACCGAACTGACGACCTTGTGCTTGCCAGGCAGGCGCTTTGCTGCTGAGCTAAATCCCTAGCCCTTCCTGGTCTTTTGATTTTTGCATTTAATCTTTTGACAAGTATGTACTGGAGATCTATTATTTATCCAAATGGACTGAGACTATAAATATCAGATTATGCTAATCTGTTACCTCACAAAAACAGAAGTAAAGAATTATAATTCAGCTTAATATATAATCTAATTAAAGTTTGGTAATAGAACTGTTAACTGGCTAAATTTAACAGTAATTGAAAGAATAATATATTTTGATCTTATAGTGTTCTTTCTCTCTATTACTTTACAATATTACATCTTCCACATTTATTTTAAGAAAGAATGAATTTGAAATATTATAAAAAGTATTTAAAAAGTCAGAGGTAAATATTTTCAATGACCTAACATTAAAAATTTTTCAGTTTTGTGGGGAAAAATAAATTTATACATTCATGGTATGACAGAAATATGATGAATGAACAAATTTTTTAAATTTCATCACACTAAAAGACATATTGCCACTAACCCATCTCAAAATATCCCTTCTCACTTCAGATACACTCACACATCATTCTTGCCACTTTCTGAGGCAGTTCTGGGTGTCTCCAGTTACATTGTCCAGGCTCCCTAGATGTCCTAAATCAATTAAAAATATTTTCCTTTCCTGGTTACTTTGACTTTGGGGAAGAGCCACAGGTTGCATGATGCCAGATCTATTACATAACACGGATGAGGACACAGCAAGATATTTTGCACACCTGCCCTCCCTTTGTGCTGGATGGCACTCAGCAATAGCATTCACCATAATTTTTTAAATCACAAGTCATAAAGACACTCATGATACAGGACTTCCAGAACTGCTTCAGAAAGGCAGGAATGGTGGCATAAATGTGTTCAAGGTGAGGGGGAGTATTTTGATGGTGCTTAATGGAAATTTGCCTTTTCATGTAACACACTTTTAAATATACACATGTATTTTGATCAACGTATCTATCAGAACCATGTAATAGACATAAGTAAAGAATCACAGACTGCTCTGATGAGACTGTGGAATGGAAAGTTTAGGAACACAGCTTCAGAGGGAAGAAATTTGAAATCAGAAAGGACTAGTAAGGATCAATCGGGTAGAAGCAATGTGAATAACAGTAAAGTTATGAACCAGGTTGTTGGCATGTTGAGCAACTTTCCATTGCTTTATATATTGTGGCCAAGACTGCAATATTCCCAACACAAAGGCTTCTTGCTAGCAAGACTGTGTGCTAGTGATCTTTACACAGGTGCCCCTGGGGAAGAAGCATCCTGGCGTTATCCCTGAGTTTGACTTTAAACTTGGGTGTACGACTTGATCTGGCCAGCAGGAGGTAAGATGCCAGCAGAGGCTTCATTAGCACTGGTATTCGAGGGCTTATGCTTGGAAATCTGTGGTCCCATAAGAAGTCCTATTATACCTTATAGATAGACCCAAGTTAGCCATGTGGGGAAGTGCAAGGAGAGAGAGGAAGGCTAAGGAAGACATCAGTTTTCTCAACAGTCCCATTAGAAGCGTCACACATGTGACAAAGCTACTTTAGACATCTCAGCCCATCAGGCTGCTACACCCAGAAGGAAGGCTACCTGTTGGGCTTTCCCAGGGCGCAGGCGTGTGGGTGGTCACAGACTGATCTAATTAACGTGGAGAGGTCTCTCACGCAGCAGTAACTGAGACCGCGGAGTTGCCATGCAATGATGGCAACGTTAAGATTGAAATTCTATACTACAAGTAAGGAACAATCACTCTTCAGCATCTTGTGTCACCCATGCATGCAGTGCACCGTGATTCATTGTGAACTCGCCTTTCATTGGAGGAGAAGACAAATTCTGGATACAGTTGAGAAAAGAGATGTTGTTTTCAATGAGAATGTATTTTTGGCCAAAATACAACTTACTTTTTCCCTGATGAAGCTAGATATGGATGATAATTATTAGACATCATCACCACGTTACACCTTAGCTTGTTTTACCGTTAACTTCTTTATTCCTTAACATGATTGGTGTGTAGAGCGGGATGTTACTACGCATTATGACTGTAGCCCTGTGAGGTAGCTTTGACCTCTGTTTGACAGAGTCAAAACTGCTTCTTCAGTCAGCTTAATCTGTTCCTTGGAATCTGATTGATCGTAAGTACAGACATTCATTACTATAGACAGTTCATTCCTGGGAACCCCTAGGACCACCCTGATGAGTTCTCAGCAAACACAAAATCCAAAGTGAAACTATCACTTGGAAGTAAATGCTACATATTTCTTTCCATATTAAAAAAATACATGAATTGAGCCAGCGTGGTGGTGCATTCCTGAAACACTAGCCCTCTGAGAAGAAGGAAGGAAGATCTCATCCTGTGAAACTTAGCACTTAGTAAGGCCCTGTTTTAAAAGAAACACAGAAAAACATGCTGGGGATGTGGCTCAGTGCAAAGGCCCTGGGTTCAACCCCCCAGTCTCCCCGTCCCACATGAACTAAAATCTTGGCTTAGTCTTTCTTTGTAATTTATGAAAACCAAATATTTGGAAAACGTCAAGAAATATAAAATTTAAAAACATTTTAATAAGGTGGTTTATGATCTCTTTGGTAAATAAATTCTAAGCTATTCTTTTTCTTCTTTTTTTTTTTTCCAGTACAGGGAATCAAACTCACAACCTTACGCTTGCCAGGCAGGCGCTGTGCCGCTGAGCTAAATCCCCAGCCCCATAAATTCTAACTTCTAATGCTAAACAGAAGTTAACACAGTTAGGCAGGGCATTGCCTCTGTCATTCTAGCACTAGGGAGGCTGAGGCAGGAAGATCGATGTAAGTTCTAGACCTCCCTGGGCTACATAATAAGTTCAAATCCAGCCTGAACTACATAGTGAGACTTTGTCTCAAAACAGAAACAAAAACAAAAACGAAAAAACCCAATAACAACAAAAAAGCCCTAAATTAACAGTTAAAAATTAAACAGAATACACACACATACAATTAGATTATGTTATTTAAGAAAACATCAATTTTTATCAATTTAAATAAATGTAGTCCAATGATTCTTGATTAATGGTTATGCATCCAGAAACACAATGTTATCACTGGAATATAGATGATCCTGGTACTTAGCACCAGTAGCTGTTTTGGTTTCTCTTGGTTTTTAACACTGCTTATGAATCTCCCAAATCACTCTAACATTTTCTTCTGTCTTGAGAAAAAAGGACTTTAATAATGAATAAATATCAAGAATTAAGAGTAGAAGAGACCCTGTCTCCAGACACCAGCCCTACAGGGTGGACAAAGGCTTTGTCCATGTAGTGTAAAGGATCAGGCTGGGACGCCATGGCTCCCCTTATACCATGCAGTGCCCTGCAGAGATGCACCCTCTCCCTGACTGGGAACGCCTGAGATCACATATTCGCTGGTTCCTTCTTTCCTAAGCCACTGAGGCTCTAATCCTTGAACTTTCTCCAATTTTCTAAGCAGCTTTCACCTTGCCTCTTTATGGGTCCCCATGTCTCTCCCATTCCTTCCACCTCAGCCTTTGGTTTCAGCACTGGCTGACCTGGCTAGTTAGATACAGATGCTGCTCATGCCCTTTCTGGTTGCCAGCATGCCGATGCCTTTCCTCTGCTGTCTTCCCTTTCCTCTCCCTCGTTCTGTTCCTTATTACACCCCAGGGCCTGTCTGAATACTCAGTGATGTGTTTGCGGACTCACATGGGGCACATACAAAGATGTCTATGCTGCAGGCAGAAATATGTTAAGGGAAAAGTCATGACAACCCAGAGCTCTGCATCCAGAAAAAAAATCAAACTTGAGGACGGAAGAAAGACAGTTGCAAACATAAAAAGTCTCAAGACATTTACATGCAGGTAGCATTAGAAGGAATTACAGGAGCAAAGGAGACAAGATGTCATATCCAACTGCGACAGAGGGGCAGAAGAGATTCCCAGGGAGCTGGTGAGGGCCGGTGTGATCCATCTGGATTGGGGCAGCTGGGGGATTTGGAAAAGTAACTCTAGCAAGAACAGCAAGTGCAGAGGATACTTGATGGGTTTTTATAGATTTAGAGGAAGCTTAAAGCTTTGGCAAAAAGTCTGGGGTAAATAAAGGTAAGTATGTAAACCTTTAAGTAATAAGGAGCCATTTTCATGAAAAAGCGGAAGCATTGTAAAACATAATTATAGTACACTGAATGTCCTAGATATGAAAACAGTTATATGGACGTAAGGATGTGAGCATTAGTTATTAACTGGGTTAGCTATGCAGATACCGCTTCTGTGGAAGGAGGAGAAAGCACAGTGCCTCAGGGGATGTGTGTGGAGGCGCGGGAGGGAGGCATTGCAGGCAGGCTGGGAGCCAAGTCTTCAGACTTAGTGCTTTTATCCCAGAAAAGAAGTAAATAGCTACTCAAAGATAATAACCCAGTGGTAGCAATGGAACCATGTTATTTAGAAACAGGTTGGGAAATAACATAAAAAACTCAAAAAACCTTAGAAAGCGACTCCATGGTAGATAGAGAAAGTAGGAATGGTAGACTCATTTTCCTTGTGAGTCTCTTCGAACTGTTTTGACTTTTAAAACACGTATATGCAATCTTATAACACAAGCAGTTTGAAAGTTGATGAAAAAGGTAATTGAAGTCATGAGACACAGGTTTGCTAGCTGGGAGCTGAGATATTCTGTAACTAGATGCACCGGTTTTCCTACATCACTTCTCTCAGGGTGACTAATAGATTACTTAACTGAAGATAGTAAGAAGCCGAAACACGTAAAGCCACTACATACTGATATGTCCCCTTGTTTTCTTATTAAGAAGTGAAGTATTAAAAATGGACTTACCTAAATTAGTGAGAAGATAAGCAATTTTTTCATAGGCCTATAATAGAAAGAAATTATAATGAGTATTTTTTCTTTTAGAAAAAGTTTATATTCACGTTATTCAAAGAAACATCTAAAGTATGTTCTGCAGAAGCATGTTCTACAAAATGGTTACATTTTCAATTAAACTTAGGATATATTGCTTTATGTATACCTATCTACATATTCAAAATGGACACAAGTTTGTTTGGAAGTATATGTACATAAAAGTTGTTATCTGCAATAAGAAGTCTCTTCTTGCAGTTAACTTCCATTTTATAATCTACTTTCTAAACCAGAAAAAAGTAAACAAATGTTTCAGTTAGTTATGGATGAGCTGAGATTGGATCTTAACATTCTAGAGTCTTTTTGACACATGGGAGGAGGAAATTGAACCATGAACTCTCCATTATTCATAAAGGATTTTCCAAACTATGACAGAAAACAATTTGCCAGCTTACATTTTTAATGAAAGATTGTTTGGGTGGTTATTTAAAAGAGGATCTAGGTCAAATCTGTTCAATATGGAAGTCGTTTGTAAGACAGATTTTTTTCCTGATAATAGTTTTTGTCTTCGGCCAACTAGTGCCCTTCCCTCATCTATTCTAACCCTCATTTACATAGACTCAAGTAAGTGACATAAATTTTGAAGTATTCTAAGTAAGTATAGTTGAAAAAGCACATTTGTTCCAGACAATAAGCTGTTGTATGTTTATGATGTGTATATGTGTGTGAATACGGCTGTGTACCCCAATTGAATACATTCATGTTCAGAACAATTATTCCAATAACCCTGTGTGTTGGCAGGAAAATTAAAAGACATGTTAAATGTCTTTAATTAAAAGACCTCCTCACTTTGAAAGTTGCTGACAGTGCCTGAGTGTCCTTATAATAGAACTGCTGTGACTATTTGGCCTAGCCATGATTCAAATCTCCCTCTTTCTAAGATCTAAAATGTTCTTGAGACAGAAAGATTATGTGGAGTACAACAATAGCTGCATAAATTCCCTAGGGCAGGTTTTGTTTGCTTGTTTGCGTGTTCATTTTACTATACTTACAAGCTATAGTTTTCTAATTTTAAGACAAGATTACCCGGAGTTTGTGAACACCAAGGTTATTCTTACTGTAACACGTCCTCTCCATGCCTTATTTACCAAGGGAGACAACCACAGCACGGTCTCTTAGGGATGGACTTGACCTACCCACAAATAGTGCTTAGCAGCACCTGTGCTGATATCACTGACTTGACCAGCCTCAGGGAGGCTGACAGTTAATTCTGCTTAAATAATTGCCATTTAGAGTATTGTGATTGTGCCCGGCAGTGATTTCCATACGTTCTCATTCCTCAGCAACAATCCAAGTAGGTCTAATGAGCCTGATTCTCCGAAGCAGGAAGTGAGGCTGAGTATCAGGCAGCCATGCTGACACAACAGGATGAGCTAGCAAGGCTCGCCTGCACAAGGCTGTGCTTTGTCATAGTCTAAGACTTTTATCTTCACGCTTAGCACATAGAGCCTCTTTTGAAGTCTGGAAAGGAAATACCTGCAGCTGGATGCCGCAGCAGAGTACAATAGCCTATGGAGCAATGTTTCAAATCAAGAGAAAGGCTGCACGGCAGTAGGGAAGCTTTCTGGGGGTCCCTAAGAACCTGTGTCAGCCAAAGCCCAGATGCAGTGGCGGATGGGTACCAGCACGCAGATGTGCTACACAACCAATCCAGGCAGACTGACTTGTAAAGTCTGCAACTACAAAGCACAGAAACTGTGATTTCACAGCAGTCAGCTGGCAGGGGAGTGGAGTGGATGTGAGCTTGGGAGAGGAGAGCCAGGGAGGATGACACAGGGATCAAACCACAGTTATCCAGCCAAGCTGGCATTCTCTACTGAGGTTCACAGAGCTTAAACTTGAGTGGGCAGAGACAAATGGCCACCGACAGGTAACTGTTCAGGAGGAAAAAGGTGCTCTGAGGAAGAGTGAAGCTGCTGGAGCGCAGTGCTGGTGAGAGAAGCACTTTCTCCAGTGAGCAGGAGCCCCTCTTTGAGAGGGTGACCTTTGGGCAGAGACACGAAGTGAGAGAGGGAACCAAGCTGAAGTCGGGGCTGAGCTCCTCTGAGACCCAGAAACCCGACGCCAGTGTCCCATGACTGGCCTGGACGCCATGTGCTTCCAGGCAAGGAAGGGAGAAGGTCAGGAGAGGTGAGAGCAGTCAAGCCAAGTAGAGGTGAGGCAGAAAGACCTCAGAGAGGGACGTCTTATCAAGGGATGACTGGCCACGGTAAGGACATCAAGCTCTCTCTGCGCTTAGATGTCACCAGCTTCCCCCTAATGCCTTGGTGAAGTTTGACGCAAGAATCAGGCAGGAGAAGAGCAGCAAGGGAGGGTGAGGGCATGGCTCTGGCGCAGGAAAGCTTGAGGAGCTCTGCACTTTTCAGTGCATTTCCTCTCTGAGTCAGAGCCCACACACACACTCACTGAGAAAATAAAGCCCCAGGCTTCTGCAGAATGGGAGAGACTGCTCTCTTCCAGCTCTCTACCCTCAAAACTTCTATAAATCATGGGCAGAGATTTGCACAACCGAACACAGTCTAGAAAAGCTAAACGTCTTATTAAATGAGTCATTCTGCATTAACCCCTTTCTTGGTTAAGACCTGTGATCCAAACCTTTGATCCACCCCATCCTATAACAGCTTGTGTGCATTATAATTGGTAACCAAGAGTAACCAGGTATTAGGAAAGGTAAATACATTTTGATCACGTCCAAGAAAACAGCCCGGGCATGGAGACATGGAAACGGATCAGTGGTGGGGAAGACCAGAACCAGCAGAGAACAATGACACCACCCACATATTATTAATTTCTCTTCTTTCTTGGTTATGATGTGCCCTGTGTATGGTAACTGGATCTGACCATAAGAGGGGAGAAATATTAAAAGGAGCTCATTCTTTTACTGGCTATGCTTTTAATTGGTCCAATTCTGGATAAATTATTAGAATACTTCTCAAACGTTTCTAATTTTCTCTTAAGAATTACCCCTAGTTGTGATTCCAGACAGCTGTCATCCTGCTGTAACATGGCGTAGTTATGGGATTGAGTGTCAAGCAACAATAATATATATTTTTGAAATAATTTTACATCTTTCATTTTCATTAACCTAGCTTTAGAAATAGTACCTGATGTGATGGCCACCTGTTACTCATGGTATCTAGAAGTGGCAGTGTAATTCCAGGGGGAACCAAAATACAGATGAAAAAGTATGAAATTCTTGGTAGAAATTCAAGGCAGAAATTTCAAATTCTACCATGGCACCATTTTAGCTGTATGTTTGGCAAAATGACATTAAATATAATGTATTAAAGTTTTAATTATTGTCAAATTTATTTTACAATTTATTTTTAGAACCTGTGGTTTCTGATCTTGGCTATGCACCAAAATTCTCTTAGGCTCCTTAAATCAATGATTTCTAATACTATTTTAGATCTAGCTGGATCAGAATCACCAGAGCACTTTTTGGTGTTTTGTTTCAAATACTTTTTTTTTTTAGCCCCACAAAGGAGATTATTAATGGAAATCAGGCATTTAGTTTTTCAAAAGTATTGCAGAAAATTTGATGTGTAATAAGAATTAGAAAAACCTTTTAGAATTACATCCACAATCTGTACAATGGACTTGTAATCAAATTGTTACTATACAAGTCCATGTTTCTCCCCAGTTGAATATTTATTTAGAATTTCCATGATCTATCTATTTTGAAAGATTTAAAGAATGGTTATATAAACACAGTTGTATATTTTATTATATATAAAACAAGTATTGTATGCTTGAAAAACAATTCTAGTAACATAAATAAGCTGATCACATGCAATATGAAAGATGCCAGTACATTTGGAGAACAGCATATATCAAATTTATTCAAAAGATATATTATAGATGCCTTGAAGATATGCAGAAAGGATCTGGAGGTCCAAGAACAGGAAGCAAGAGAATGAATCCCTGCTTATAAGTGCTGAGCCCTTTGACAGTTGGAGAACGAGCTATGACAATTATACAAGGGATGAATGCACACAGAAGGCTGAATAATTCCGCCGGGGAGTCTGAGGGTTGGGAGAACAGGCAGATCCGAGAGCCTTGGGCTGCTATTACAACAGAGCTGAGATTGCTCAACCCTGCACATGAGACTGAGAAAAAGGTTGGTGGAGGAAACAATCTGCAACCAGTATTTTCACAGATGAAGAGATATTCTCCAGGGAGACAAAAGTAAAAAGGACATTTCAGACAGAAGAAGCTCTGTGAAGCACACACAGGGGTAGGAAGTAGCAAAGCACCAGAGGACAGGGAAGTGGTTCCTAGGCTGCAATGCAGGCTGCACAGAGAGGGGAGAAGAAAGCAAGACTCCAACGGCAAACCCACCCCCAGAGGAGGTGCATGAGTTTAAGATTTGTACCAGAGTCAGTGGAAATCTGCAAAAGAGTTCCAAGCACAAGTTAAAATGATCAAAAACTACAATTTAGACACATCCTTATAAAAGTCATGTGTAAAGGGAATAGAGTTTAGAGAAGAAACAGGAAAACTGTCAAGTTAGAAGGTGGTGGATTAGTCCAAGCAAAGTGTAACAACTAGCTTAACCAAAGAAGCCCAGTCAGAATATAAGCAGGGGATGGATAAGAGGGATGTCTCTGAGTAAAAGCTCACAACTATCAGTCACTGATAAGACGAAAGAATTGCATGAAGGACAGTAAAAGTTTTTTGCTGTATATGTTTTTATACATCCTGAATTAAGCCAAATATCTGATTTCAACTATTGCCATTCTTACATTTCATTATGTAGTGCATTTGAATTAGACCTGAGAAGCAAATTAGAGTCATAGAATATTTTCAGCACAAGTCTTTCATTTAAAAAATTGGTGGCACAGGGATCCTAAATTCCAGCTACTGAGAAACAAAATACATGTTTAGCAGTTGCATATTTAGGTTTGTCCTTAAAAGAGCATAGAAAATGGAACTTTTAGTTTCTCTAGACAGACATTTCAGTGGTGTAATATCGGACATTTCAATTATCTTTATTTGAATAAATTCTTAAGTTAACATATGTATTCAGATGAGTCACAAGAGCTATTTAATAACTTGTACCTTAATGATTAATAAGTGCCTTAACATCTTCAGTAGAAAGAAGTGCCTAAATTTAGGAGAGCATCATTATCTTTGCACTGATTAAAAATGAACATAATCTGAAAACTACTTTGAAGACAACAATATGCAATATAACAACCATTGTTGAGTTCATATCATCTTGTTTTTTTTGAAATTCTGTATCATTTCTAAAGTTTTTTAAATTAGTTTTTAACTCTGTAAAAAATGAAGATGACAGTCTTTTCACATAGATTGAGCTGGCTGCATATTTGCTTCCTTTATGCTAAATATGTTTTAAAAACCACCTAAGTTCATCGCAATGGTACAGAAGTGTTTATAGTCTACTCCCTGTCCCAAAGCCCATGAATCTTTATGCTGAAATGTCCAGAAAGTAGAAACAAACATTTAGAAAAAGCAAAGACAGCTCTGACCTCTCCCAGGAACTAGTAGTGTTTGTTTTGTAGCACTAAGAATAGTGCTTAGTTGTGCAGAGCTGGTGGTGTTTTGGGGATCTCCAGAGATTGTTTCAGTAACTCAGGTAATGCCATGTTCACCTGCCTTCAGAGCTCTTCCTGTTGCAAGTAGAGATTCATGCTATGGACTGCAGACTTTGCTTTCTGTAAAATTAAAGGCTTTGGAGGAAAGAATTCATTGAGCCTCAATGAACACGTCAACTTAGTAAGAACAAGCTGTATATCAACCTTTCGAGAGGAAAACCCCAGCAATCTGAGAGCCACTTGTGATCATGGCTAAAGGGTGGTAACTCAGAGTAGGGGTTGGCTGTAGAGCAGACTCAGTGTTCAAGAGGCTGGTGATTAAATCACAACCAGAATGATACAAATAACCCTAGAGTCTAGTACACCAACAGAAAGTCACCAAATTTTAAGATTCTCAATATTAGTGACAAGAGATTGAATCCTTTAGTGAGAAAAATGTTTGAGCCTAAAGCTGAAACGCAGGCACTGAATCAGAAATTTGGTCCCACACATTCCTCTGCTTAACTGAGGGACGATCACTTCTCTAGGTGGGAACAAAGCACTAAGTTCTGAACATGGAGTGTGTGTTCCAGGCTGTCACGCTTGCCTTCCCAAGCAGAGACTGATTACACACATTCGCTTCTTAATTTTTCATGTCTGAAAGAGTCCCTATGTTCAGAAAGATTAAGTCAGTTCATTAGCTTCACTCAAGATGCTTTGGAAGATCAGTAGGCCTTGGCAGCAAACTGCCAAATCAGAAAAAGAACAGGGGGTGCTGTGCTGAAGGCAGTAATAGGGCGGAGGTGGTGGAGAGAATAAAGACACGAAGCTGTTAACACTGACCACCACCTGAGGGTACAACTAGATTTATGGTGGGAGGGGCAGAGGGAAGCGTTATATTACGCTTTGAGGAAGTTGACTACTGTGCAGTATTTTAATATTTTCATACTTTAATGTATTTCATAATAACAAGACACCAATTTTTGTAGCTTAAAGGAAGGATAAAGTAAGCAGACTTTAAAGGGACATAATAAAATTAAGACAACTAAAGAATGAGACTACTGAAGTTGCTATACTATAGGAACTTTCCATGAACTGATCTGTTTTAAAATACTACTAGGCATCATTTATCTGAGCATCTGTACCCTGCCCCAGAGTTTCTGCTGAACTTCTGCCTAAAACCTTTGCTCAATAAACCCCCTTGCCTCTTAAGACATTTTTATTATTAATGTATTTGTAAAAGACACAATAAGACCAACTACTTCTGTTTGTTTTTCTCTCAAAGACAATTTCGATTATATGAATAGTTGCTTATATATAAATATTTCTGAAAATGTAATAGACATGAAGAAAAAAGAAAACAACAACACTTCAGTAGAAATCAATGCAGACATGGTCTGAAAAGTTCAGACAGACTGAAGAAAACATTGTCATTTCCACATCTTGGATTGACAGAAATCAAGTAACCAACTCTATTAGTTAAAGATAAGAAAAATAGGGAAAGGAAAGAAAATATTCTTGCTTTATGTGAAGGAATGAGAGCATACACACATCTATAAAGGGAGTTAAAATTTAAAATACTGAACAGAAGCACATATAGAGGAAGCAAGTTCTTTATTAGCATCTTCTACATACTAGACAAAGACTCATTTAATCTTGCAATATTCTTATTTGTAAGCTCTAGTCTCTCCATTTGAAAAATGGGAAATTAGAGCTCATGGATGGCACATGGGGTGCAGAGGGTCACAGAGGGTAGGTGGTCAGTCCTCTGGGTCCATGTCCAGAGTCCTCAGGACACCAAGGAGAAGAGGTGACAGAGCCCAGGCGACTTAGAGAATCAGGAGCCGCAGGCACGCGAAGGTGAGCGGAAGGAGCAGCACGGCTGTGGGCAGGGAGAGCGCCCAGCCAGCCACGGACAAACCTCCTCCTTACTCGGTAAAAGACACAGTTTTAGAGAAGACTCAAGTTTCCTGTCTACCTGACTGCGGTTGTGCGCGTGACTCACATGTAAAGTTAAAAGAAAACGTGCCTTCCACACCCAGCATGTCTCCAAGGTTATATCACGGTAGAAATCTTTCAAAGCTAAAGTTATTGTTTTATTTTTTTCTGATTATAAATTAATACCTGCATACAGAGATAAATATTTGAATGATCAGAAAAAAGTTATTTCCAATCAAAAGTGTTTGTCATATTATCTTACTGTGAAGAGATGATACTGTTAACAGTTGATTGTCATTTCTTACAGTTTTGAAATCCAGATGGGTGGGTGTGTATATTCTGGAAAATTAAAATCAAGTAAAACTATATCTTCCTGATGTAGTTGAATTTCATGTCTTTCAATAATAGTAAAATAGCATTTAAGTAGGGTGTATTACTCCATTATATAAAATTTTGAATCCATATTCTTTTAGTCTTGGTCATTTAGGATTTTTTCCCAATTCTTGCTATTCCACTATTCCAGTAATTTCTTCATAAACCTTCAATTACATCATGGATGATCTCTTTAAAGTAAGATATCTAGAAAATTCAGTATACATATGATAAATATTAGATAATATAGACAGAAAAAAATCACCTATACTCTTATTTTCCAGAGATAAATTTTGATAATATTTTGATGAATAATTACAATTATTATCTATGTAGTTATTAATGCTCTTTTGCTTTATTTTTGATGCTATCCTTCTCAGATATATTTTTAAAAATAGATTTTATTTTTTTTTTTTATTTTTGTTTTTTTTCCGGTACCGGGAATCAAACTGATGACCTCACGCTTGCCAGGCAGGTGCTGTGCTGCTGAGCTAAATCCCCAGCCCCCTAAAAGTTTGTATTTGATCAGGAAACTTTGTCTAAATTCTACATTAACTTGCACAACAGTAAATTATCTAGTATTGTACTTTTCAACATTTGTTGCACATTTTATAAACCAGAGGCATAAATTCCAGTATTTTATAGCTTATCAGGAGGTACTGAAAATAATTCTTTCCTTCAACAAATGAAATTTAAACTGAAGAAAGCAGAATCAGTAGATATCAACTATGTATTGGAGTTGAAGTGTGTTCTCTTATGGCCTTTTCTGGTTATTAAAATTAAATAGTAGATAATAGTAGATGCTGTCTGACCCCTCATGAGAAAGCATGAAACACTTGTTTCAAACGCATTTGGAAACAAATGTTTATTGCCTATGTATGATATGACGAACTGTGCTTGCTCAGATAGCTATACAAATTACCTTGTGTTGGAAATATGTTAACATTTACCCTTAGAAAATGTACGATTTGGGACAGACTATTTAAGTTCTCTGATTTCCAGTTTTCTTTCTTGATGGAAAGAATATCAACTTTGTGGGGCTGGTGGAAGAATTACGGACAAGATACTATCCTTAATGTGTAATTAGACCTCTTGTTTTCAGAAAAAATTGGTTTTCATACACTGACTTTGTTGAAGAGGCAAAATGATGACCTCCTGGACATAAACATTTTATCTTCAAGTCAATAAATGTATGTGATGTTGAACAAAAAGATGCTCTCTTTGAGAATTTAAATCATAGAAACCTGACAGAGTGATCACATAGTTAGATAACTGAGGTATGGCATGCCACAATGAAGCAGACTGTGACAGAAAGAGAGGTCATAGGGAGGGAAATACTGTCATCCTCCTAGTGTGAACAGAACACCTGTATTAGGAAAAGAAGAAGGAAGAAGGAGAAGAGAGGGAGAGAGGGAGAGGGAGAGAGAGAGATAGACAGAGACAGAGAGACAGAGAGACAGAGACAGAGACAAACAGAGAAAGAGAGGAATGGAATAGGTGCTTTGGAGATGACAAGCCTTTACTTTCAAACCAACTTTTTTGTATCTTTCCACCAAAAGTCTTGTGAACCTGAGTTTATTTAAGTGGTTTTTTGAGCCGACACATCCTTCAGCTGTTAGAAAAGTGCACGGCACCCCTCAAGCACACATCAGCTACTGAATGGGTGGACGTTATCATCAGTCTGGATTATAAACTCAAAAAGCAGAGCAGACAATACAACCAGCACTGGTTTTCATTTCAAAAACCCACCATCTCAAACCCATAGATGGAATATTTTCTGAGAAAATGAGTTGTCATTGCCAAAACTGTAGATCTGTCTGATTTTGTCATCAGTGTACACTCACCAGCTACAAGGGCCCTCACCCTTTCCACCTCCCACCCCTCTGTACATACTGCAAAGCAGCTCTGTAAACACTTACGAGATTCAGCAACATGATGATTATGAAATTGATGCAGACCGCAGCGGCAGATGTTGCGAACTGCCAGTGCTGTTTGATGAAATTCCACTTGAAGGATGCGAACTGCTCCATGACTACCAGGCGGTACACCACCACCGCAAACACCGCGGTGATCACCAAAGAGATCTGTGGCACAGGACAGCAGAGAGGGCACCCACAGGGGCATCATTAACAAGCCAAAAGTAAGGGCAAGGATCGGGGACACTGTACCCAAGAGTTAAAAGGATTTACCTTTCTTAGAAAGGATACATTGACTATATTTTCTCCCTTGAGGGAGTAATTTATACTAGAGTGACAATTAACACTAAAAGATTGAAGCTTTAAATGGTAACTAGGCAAGACTGTGCCTATTTCAGTTCGCTAGATTTAACCACTGTGCAGTGCGTACATATTTCAAACACCGCAGTGATTTGCGTTGACTCTTGCTTTCACACTGACATCAGTCTTTATCTTGTAATCTGAGCAACTATTTTAAAGATAACAATATGCAATATAATAACCACTGTTAATTTCCTATCATCTTGTTTTGAAATTTTGTGTAGTTTTTTTTTTTTCTCCCTTTAAAATAAAAAAAAATACACCATGGTGACACGAAAGTACAAACAATGTTACTTGGCATTTTAAAAAATAGAGCTCAGGGGTGTTGCTTAGCAGTAAAATGAATGCTTAGCATATGTGAGATGCTTAATTCAGTATAAAGAACCAACAAAATTAAAGTAAGATAAATTTAGTTAATTAAATTTACAAATAAAATAGAAATGAGAAATATGTAAGCTGTTTGAGTATGATGTCACCCCCCTAATGTACAAATTCTACCTAAATTCATCTTTCAAATAGAAGACTTTCTTTTAACAGCAGATACCCAGTTCAGCAGGGTGACTCATTTAATTTCCATTTAATCTTAGTTGATTTCAGTTCCTTCCAAGTAGTGCTTTATTTAAAAAGGTGTGCGAATTCCCTCCTATAAATCTCTATAATCTGCCATGATTTCTATTTTATTTAATCGAAAATGTTACCAAGGTACTGAAAGGTTATTTTCTTTTTTAATAGTTTAATTTTTTATTGTTAAACTATACTGTGAAGCACATGTCTATGGTTTAATCAGAGAGACATGCTTTGTACATCATCAACGACATTTACTGTAGTGGAATAAGACAGAGAAAACAAGTACATGTTTGAAAAGAATGACTACATGTTCCACCTGGTCCTACTTTTGCTATTTAAAGCGTATTTCCTTGTTAGTGAACTGATCTTGCATATACGTTAGGTCAGATTTACCTCCCTATGTTTTTAAACATTAAATGGAGAATCTTACAATCTCTAATTATAAAAACAGACTGAAGACAATTTGTCTTGATATCATGGAACATCCTTCAGCCTGGAGTCCCACAACATTCTCACATGAAGATCACACCTTACCATGAAGAATATTCCTGAGACAGAAACAAGAAGACGGATGATTTTGTCTGAGGAAGGCTGATGTGGCTCAGGTTTTCCTGTGATGGGATTCACAATCTCCATCTTGTAATACTTGGCTTCAAACTGGGGGCGCAGGGTTTCCTAGAAGAGAAACTAAAGTTCAATTCAAGCCACATATTTAAAAAATGCCTCCAAGAATTAATATAAAACTGCTAACTTTGCCCAACTTTCATTTGTCTTCACAAAGATGAATCCTTTAAAAAATAGTATGTCGATTATTTTCCAAATAAACCTTAATCTGCATTTTATTTAGCATACTTTTGCACTGGTGTAATTTAACGAAGTATCATAGAAGTAGTTTAAAAAACCCATATTTCATTATTGATCTTTTTTTTTGTTTTGTTTTTCTCCGGTACCGGGAACCGAACTCATGACCTTGCGCTTGCCAGGCAGGCGCTTTGCCACTGAGCTAAATCCCCAGCCCCTCATTATTGATCTTTGTGATCTTCATAAAGTATGAAATCCTGTTGGTAGCACACATCTAGGGGAGATCTAATGGTGTGTGGCTACTGCTGGTCTCAGTGGTGGGTAACAGCAGCTTCCCACACTGTGTGATATCACCGTTTCCATATCTCCAGCTTCCTAACATCTCACCTCCTCTTCTTCCCATTCAATGAGATCCCAGGTATAGGTCAGTATACTTCTTCTCCTTTTCCAAAACTCCAGGAAGACAGTAGCTATAAAATATCATGAGAATAATAATTAGTTTCCCAAACCACAGTACATTCATTGCTTTTTCTCATCACATCAAATTATTATGTTTTGACATTATTACAATTACTTATTATTAAAGCAATACTGGAATCCCTCCTTCCTGTATCGGAACACCAGTATCAGTGTGCATTCCTAGAGAGTGTGTGTCCTTTCATTGAAAGTGAGCGCAAGATTTTTGTTAATGTGATTCATTAAATTGATCCTTCCAGGCAAGGTTAATATCAGTGAGGCAAATATAAGTGTCCTTTCTGACCAGTACATGCTAATCCAGAAATTCTAAGAGACTCAAATAAAGTGTCCACCAACAATGATAACAAAGACCAGATGCTACTTTTCCGGTACCATTAAAAGGGTATGGAAGGAAAAGAGAGAGAGAGAGAGAGCAAGACCATCTTGGTAGAAGAAGAAGAAGAAAAGAAAGAGTAGAGAAGACTGGTAGATGAATATTCATACTGAACGATTCTTGGCAGGAAAAGACTCAATGGGCAAAGGCAAGATGCCTGAAGTATTACCTGGCTTTCTCCACAAACAGCTCAGGGAGCATTTTCTTTCTGGACAGTGGGGTCCACCCTACACTACTGAAGACTTTGTGGACATAAGCAAGAACTCTCATATTTTCATAAAAATCTATTCCAGTGCTGATCCAGCCATCCGTACTGTTGTTGGATGAGATACTCTAACCTCAGGGATCTTTTTAACTAGTGGCAGAGGACAGTGATCTTCACTGTAATGAGAGTTATAATACAGTATGGACAAAGAATATCTTCAATGCTTTTTGAAAAAAAAAAAAACCCTCAAGGATGTATTCATGATATACTGCAAACGTATACTAATAAGAATACAATACAAACTTCAAAAAAAGAAGTTGGTAGAGCAAGATGAGGTCTCCTTTCCTGACTGTTTTCAATGCCTCAACATACAGGAAAAGCAGGGAGTGATGGTCCTGAGGTTTTGTTTTATTTTCCTTTATCATTAAAATCAATACTTACATTCATTAGAAATATAGAGATATTATGCATAGTCACATGAACTTACATTTACCTCACTTTAACATTTACAAAATCTTTTCTCACATGTGGTTTAGCTGTAATTGTCTTGCTCCTAACATTTACAAGGAGGTGGGTAGGTAGGTATCCATTGCACGTGGGTTTTGGAAACAAAGGTGCTCTGCTGTCTGTGTCCAAGGTCACATGGCCACTGAATGCGAAATGCAGGTCTGACTTTGTCCACAGAGCCTGGTGGATAGAGCCCTTAGGCTCTTTCTCCTTTATCCTCTTCTATCAGTACTAGCCCTCATTTTCTGTGAAGAGCTGGAAGAGGCAGGGAAGGCTACACAACTAACAGGGTAACCTGTGTTGGCATTGAGATACAGGAGGCGCTCCAGACCCTAGATCTGTCTGTAAAGACAGGTCATAATCGCTGTTGCCCATGGAGAAATCTAGCACTTCTAGGGATGTGGGGTACAGGAGAAAGGGAGGACACATCAAGGGAGAATTTGTTACCAAAGGAAAACCGAAGGGGAAAAGTATTACTTTAATTAAGCAATGATAATACACAATGACTAGGAACCTGGACACAAAAATTTTAATTTAGACCATGACTTCGACCTAGAAGGCTCAATAAATTCTATTTGTCATTAATCTCAGTCAAGACTTAAAGTTTAAACACTTTATATACTCCCTCCTTAATATACTTTTCCTGCATAGACCTGATTTAAGTGGCACCTGCCACAAAATCCAAGAAAAATAAAGGAAATCTTGGATTTGGATGACTCTACCTTGATAATAACATTATGAAAGCTACAATGGTTATTTCTAGGAAAGTGGAATAGTTTCTTTAGACTTGAGTATTAAACTGGCCTTTGTGTTAAAAGTCCATTTTAAATGTGAGATACATATATTAATTTTTTCATGATTTACTTATCTAAGCTGTGAAGTGAATTCAAGTTCTCACTTTAAAATATTCATTAAAAAGAGGACATGCAGAGTAATTTATCAGTGTGCCAGACACAGAGGAAGGCTACAAATTTTTCTTTGCTAATCTATACTAAAGGTATTAATAACACAATCACTGATGAAGACAGCTAACTTTGAAAATTAAAGCAGTAGCTGCTCCTGCCCCAAGAACTATCCCAGGGGATGTGAATATTCCACAGTCTACCAGGAGTGGGTTTATGCAAGTTCATGGACTGCTCAAAAGTGATCAACTGCTCTTAGGCTCTGCGGATTTCACTGAATGCAAATTATACTACAAAAACAAGGATTTAAGTTTATTTTTTCTGGAGACCAGGATGTTTTTTTTTTTTTTTTTTTTTTTTCAGGTACCGGGAACCGAACCCACGACCTTGCGCTTGCCAGGCAGGCGCTTTGCCGCTGAGCTAAATCCCCAGCCCCTAAGCTAAATCCCCAGCCCCTCAGGATGTTAAGTGAAATAAATCAGCTTAAAAATTACATGGTTTCTTTTAAATGAGAAATCCACAGTATAAATCAATTAAAGAGTCAAATAAAAGGCAGATAATAAGAAACAGGGAGACAGATCTTTAGATCTTTTATACATAAGAGATGGAGGAGGGGCATTGGGAGGGGAAGGAAGGGAAAGAGACATAAAACAGAATTAAGATGTGTTACCTACACACATAAACACCCTGAGAGGAATGTAATCATTATGAACGGCAACATGCTAATTAAAGAAAAGAGGTTTTAGAAAGTAGTATTTTACCTTTTTTGTCATACTGGGAAAGCAAGCTATGGCTTTGATCGCACAAGACAAGTACCTTACCACTCCCAGCCTAACGGTGAGTAAGTTTTTAAAAGCCAAGTAACTAAAACTATCTTTTGGCTTGACTTGCATGATGCTATTCTGGTTCTCCCCAGGTTTGTACTTTAGTTTTCTCAGCCATGGTAACGCTTACGCTTAGCAATCGAGGACTCTGAAAAAGACGTGAAGAGTGGGCACGACCAGATCTCATTCCCCAGCCGGTGCTAGGGTGCCTGCAATCTCAAAGGATAAGCACAGGCCATGAGACTGGACCTGCAGGCTAGCCTGAGCCTGCACGACTCCCTGGCCTGCTGTTGGGAGAAGGCTGGGCTTAGGGGCTGGGGATTTAGCTCAGTGGCAAAGTGCCTGCCTGGCAAGCTCAAGGTGGTGAGTTCCATTCCTGGTATCAAAAGAAAAACAAAACAAACAAACAAACAAAAAGAGAATATAGAAGGCTGGTCTTGGAGAAGGGGCTTCTATTTTTGCCAATCCCTCAGCACAACAATGATGCAGAAGCCTCAACTTAAGTGACTTCAAGGTCCTCCTATGCAGGTAAATGTGGGGGCCAAGAAAATGTGGGGCCAAGTATACATGCAGGAGGAAAGGCTGGGGCCCGCGCCAAACAGGAAAGGGATCAAACCCACCTAAACACGGAATTCCAGTTCAAGTGGCACATGTTGATAAGTTCTGCACTGCCCTAAGCTCTCATCAGGAGTGACCCACTGACTCACACACTGTCCTGCGTGAAAATTCACATCTGAAAGATGGAAATGGGTGAGAGAGGACAAAAAGAGCTAAGGTCTTGACACAGTGTGTGCATGCTTCAGAAAGAGTTATATGAATTCAGTCTCATTCTTGACAATAGAAAGATAAAGGATGAGGAATGGGATGAGCTGCCCTCTGGTTCAGGATTAAGTCCTGGGCATGAGTTTCAAGAGGAAACAGGAATCAAGGACATCAACAACCACATGTGATAAATCATGCAAGTCATTTTGCATGAGTCATTTTGCATGATTGCTGCTGAAGCATTTAGTGTGCATTGTTAACTTGGACCATGGCTGGATGTGGCCGTCTCCAAAACAGCAGCAGATCGAAAGAATACAGAGCATGAATGAAAGAGGATCTGGCAGGTTCTGGAGGGGAGGGGTGAGGATGGAAGAACTGGAGATTTGAATCAGGGAGATGTGCAGCGCTTGCTGCTTAGGCAGCTTTAACATATCCCATTGCCCGGGCTGCGCCTTACACCTATTAAAGCAGTATCTCTTCAGCAGATCCCCAGCATTAGAATATTTTAGAAAGCTCCTGAGAACTTCTGGTGTGCGCTCAAGTTTGAGCACCATTTCCAAGAGCAACCATTATGTCAATGAAGGTGAGAAATGGAAATTGAAGTCATGGTTACTGTCCTGGTTGAACCTCAGCAACAGAACTGTAGGTCTAGCTGTCAGAAACAATAAGCAGCACTTTTTTAACTATCAGTTTTTGGTGCCTGCATACTTATGAAACATTTTGATAATCACTTCAGGTATATTTTTTCTAATGTCTGTAAAGCTCACTCTCCAAATAGTTCACAAAAATATGAATTTAAGAAATCTGTATACATGAAATGGGCCACGAAATGACTATTATTGTTGCTCACAGTTTTAGAAGTTAGAAATGCGAGATTTAGAGAGGCTATGCAACTTGTTAAAGTCAAACAGATGGCAAGACCCTAAATCATGCTGATTTCAGGATTCACACTCTGTTTCCCATACATCCCTGGGTATGACTAGATGAAAGGGAGGATGAAGGTGGTGATAGGTGAGAATGGACATGTGAGAACAAGTTGTGAAAAGTGTCAAGGAAGAAATACCTTAGATGTAGGTAGACATGGAAATAGAGGTAGATGTCAAAGAGCAAGGAGTTTAGAGGAAGGAATCCTAGTGGATAAGGAGGAAAGAGCCCAGGATGAAGGTAGCAACGGAGGTGAATAGGGGAGGGAGTACATTAAACTTACTTGACGTTAAGTTGAACATGCTTTAAAATGAGAGCATACAGAGTAGAAGCAATTGCTTTGTTTTTAAAAGAATGAAGTGTTAATATAGACACAACTGAAATGAAAATTTAGAAATATAGCTGCATGTGTTTGTGTTGTGTGTAGATAAATTAGATGCACTGCAGTTACAGGGACATTATGCGAAAGGGACACACACCCAATGTTGGCATTAAT